TGAAGGATGGAGCCTCGGAGGAGTTTCCTATGCCTCCAGCAGACCTACTGCATTTTGAAACAGCAGAAAAAATTGCCAGAGCGATTTGAAGCCTATTTGCCAGGCTTGTGCAGCTCCCTGCGGTGCTGGGAGATGGTGAGCGGCAATCGAGAGCCGTCCAGGACACTTTCCAAAGCAGCTCCCACTGTTGAACAGGCTCCCGAGGCACTTCGGGGTGAGCACCTGCCCTCTGGCACCTGCTTCTTAGCAAGAAGATGGAGAAAGACAAACACATGGAATGGAGAAAGATTTTGTCTTGAGACAAAGACAGAGACCTTGCACTGAGGATGGAGCCAAGTTGTGTGTAATTGACTATGGGTAGATGGGCACTGAGCAACAGAGAAAATGGGTACTATTGCCTTGGCCGAACGTCACTGAAATAGTTGATTAGGTGTGATGTGCTTATGTGACTGGTCTTAATCTTGGTGCCTGGAAAGTATTTTAATATACACAGTTTAACATTCACACAACATTTTAGAAATACTTAAGTAATCACTTAGCAAATCTCATATTCACTTCAATCTCCCAAACACACCCTCTCCACCTCAAAGAAACAAATAAACCAGTAATCTGAGTTAGAAAGACGTCTCACCCATGTCTGGTTTTGGTAAGAATTCAACAAAGATTTCTGGGATCTTCATAGAAATGGAAAGTAATTTTTGGTGTTAATGAGTAAGGTGAAGGGACAGAACGGCAGCGATGTAGGAGCCTAAATAATTCGGCTTGCTTCAAAGCTGATGCATATATGACAGACTAAAATCCATAAGGAACCCAAAAGGTGGGATTCATCTCATCGAAATTTGTTCTTTAGAAGTTGCCTAGATTGCCAAGGGAAGGACAAAGAGCTCAAATCACTAGTTTAGATGCTCAGATGTTTTATCTCCCTTGCCCTTGGGATGCCGAAACATTAACTGATTGCTTTCGAATTAACGGTCACACTTTTTGACTCCTAAGTCAGTGTGATCCTTTTGAAAACATTCCTGATACTAATGGACATAAGTGACATAAGTCACTAATGATTTTAATATTTTTTACATTTTCCTAACATTATGTCCAATAATTTTGAAGTTTTTATCACTTTCTTCCAAATTATATAGTTGTAATTCGCTTCTACACAGAAGTTACAGGTATGTAAAATTCAGCTGCATTTATCTGGATCTCTTATAGTCACAGAAAGACAACAGTTCACCCATTTTTCAAATCTTCCAAACAGCCATACAAAACTGTTCTGTACACATATTTATTGCTCACAGTATGACAGAAAAAGCACTGCAGAACCACTAGGATTTTTATTCATCTTCTTTTCCAAGCAATTTACTTCCTGTTTTTAAATCACAGCACAGGTTTTTTTAATTTCTTGAAATGAATTACTCCAAGATAAGAAGCATGAGACTTCAAGGCTACCACTCATGCATACAGTTGTCTTTTTACTAAATTATATAAAATTTATAAAAATTTCTAATAATAAAAAACTTTAAAGGCAGCTTATTTTTCCTTGTACTGTTTACTGCTCTTCTATCTGAGTAATACCATTTTGTGGGTGTCTGAGGAAGGAAACTGAGAAGAACATCAGATGTGCAGAATACCTCAGCGGTATTTCTATGAACTCTGTTCACATGACCTGACAGCACCAGAATTTACTATTTTTTGCGTCTACCTCTAAAATTAGTCTAGTGCTGAAATACTAAGTAAATGATAATTTTCAGCTGTCTGAATTGACTTTTGTCTGTCACATTGGAATAATAAAGATAAATTCCTATAGCATTAACTGCAGCTAAACATTGAGGCACTGAAATTCATTAAACTTAATGAACTCAGGACAACAATCATGTCCCGATATATCACAGACAGTAATAGCTGCTTCTACCTGCGCGTGCGGACAACAGGGTATGTTGTCAATTTGGTTTAATTAACAAGTCTATTTAATCAAAAACAGCATGACGCATGACCCTTGTTCTTTTTTTTTTTTTTTTTTGCTAATAAATGGAGATCATGATTGTTCAAAATGTTTTATGAATGTGTCCACATCTGCAAATTGTTTGAGTAAAGAAAACAAAATTCTCCAGTGTTTCTCTAGAAATGTTACATTTTCGGGAACTTTTAAACTAACATATTTTCAGAATGTACCTTTTAACTTTTATTAACTCGAGACCTTTCATTTAGAATTCTATCTTAGCAAAATATACAGTTTCTCCAAAACAGAGCAGTTAAACCCCTCTTTTTCTTTGCTTTTTGAAAGTTTTAAAAATGCTTATGTTTGTTGACCCTCTGGCATATGGTTCCCCTCTGGACCAAGAGCCATTTACAGAATTCTCTGCCAGAAACTGAGACTAACCAACTGTATTTGTCAAAATCAAGATGTAATAAGCTTTGCTATTTGCCAAAAAGAGAAATGGGCTGTCCTTAATGCTTGCTAGAAAAGTAAATGAAATGGAATGAGAAATAAAGAGATTACTAATGTACCCCATTTCCCAACTTGGCTGAAAAGGAGAGGGCATGAAATGACAGGAAAATTTCTAAGACTTTATGCCACCACTAAATTATATACTGCCCTGCCAGAAGATAAAGGCCCTGTTAGAAAACTAAACCGAATTCAAAATTTACTGCTTTAAGTGAGACCTCAGTATGAGAAACGGAGACATCTTATACTTGGTGGCAATGAATCAAGTTAAGTATCAGTTTTGACCATAACTCTTCTACAAGAGATCCAACATTTTGGATAGGCTGAGAGGATGACAATCCTATTCATCCTGTGACAACAACAATAAGTGATCCCTTGACTATGATAACCAATATTTTTAAATCCCATGTAGAAAGTCATACTTTTATGTATGCATTTCGTTTCTACTGTGCTGGATAAAGGCATTAATTAAGAGTAAAAAGATGAAGGGGAAATGTAATCAATCATCTCCTTCATTCACTATGCCAAGAATGGCTGATTTTAAAAATGCCTTTTTATAAAGTGATTGATCCCTGACATGTTCCAGCACAGGTAATTTCACCACTATTTATTAACATAACCCGTATAAATGAAAGACAAAAATGTAAAAACATAATCGGTTTAGTTTTATACAAAAACCAAGGGTGGGACTCCCATTATGTTTTTTTTTTTTGTTAGCTTCTGTCTCTAGACAAATAAGACTGGAAAAATCAAACAAAACTCTTTCTGGACTTTAGGAGTAAGCATTTGTGGTTTCTTCTTTGCATGGAAAACTACGTATCATGAAATAATCATCACCAGCAGCAGCAATCAGGAAGAGATTTACATAAACCTTTTCCTCTTGGTAGTTAACCTACTACAAATTCCTGTCTCCTATAGAATAATGCAGTCAAAAACTGAACATAAGGAAACGGAATTTAGTCGGTAGCCTAAAACCTTTGCTGCCTATTTAATTGTCTTAAGCTACATTATAAAGCATATCACATAGTTCAAAGAACACTTTTGAAAGTTTATGCTGTGCGTGATACAAATCCACTTAACATTATCATAAAGACTACCAACTGCTCCAGTGAATAGTTCTTTTTCCCTATTTTTTTTTGGAAAAAATCACAAATTTAGCAATTACTTTAGCTAAAAATCACAAGAACTGTGGTGTGGTATCATGGAAAATTCTACATCTATTATTAGAGAACAAAGGAGAAAAATTAGTCTTAAACTCTATCAGTGCAAGTGAAAAAAAAAGATCTGGTCATGCCAAAGTTTGTAGATGGAAACTGGATTTAGATATTGTTAAACATGTTAAAATAAGCACTGCATTGGTATTTTTAGTTTTCTTTAACTCATGAGAACAAGCAGAGAGAAATTAAGCTTTTGAGCTAGCTTTAAATTCCATTCAAAAGCTCAGTACTTGTACTAACAAACCAAAATTAAAGCCTCTTCTTGATTAACCTCAAAACATGTCTTTTTTCTAAGGCATTGCTCAAACACATGGATAAAGAGTTAAATCTTCACTTTTAGTGAACAAAATCTGAATAAAGTTGTGCAAAGTTGTGAATTCCCTTCAAGCAGAACATTTTAAATATTGAATTGAAAATATGAACAGAGTATTAATCTAAAGATTCTTCTGTTTAAATACTAAAACACCAAGTTATTCAAACTATTTTTTTCCACCATTTTTAGCTCTGTATTTTTAAGATGTCTGAACACCTGAAGAATAATGTAATACAAAAATATTGCTATTACAATCCCTATTTATTGAATCACATGAGAAGTTCTATGAATATAAACTCACAAAAATGCAACACAGAAAACAACACTGCCTCCACCTCACAAAAAGTAAAACCTTTTTTGTATATTACATAATTAGTTTCTAATCAGGAAAAAGGATATATAAGGAAACCTATATATGAGAACATGAACTCTTCCTGCACTATGGCATAAGAGGTTTATCAAATCAGAGCTCCTGAGAGAGATGGGATGAGAACTTTTTTTGTGTGCACTTACTTAATAAAAGAACAGATTTTCTCGGATGAAAACAATCTGTTTAAATAAAAGTTTCTTGTGGCTAGATGGAAGGTCAGAACTGTGAAGGAAATAAAACTGAGACTGCAGACTGCAGATGCTACAGACACTGGGAAACCTCTGATGTATTAGGGAATTTCTGGGACACCAGATGGACACGCTTTGATCTGCTGAGCATTTGTGCTCCCCACTGAACTGCTTATTAACTTCAGGACTACACCAGAAGTCTAACGAAGCAAATAAACTTACAGGAGGTTCCTTCCTCCTTATCAGATGCATCAAGCACTTTCATAGTGTCATTTTCAGCAGTATTATGGGATGGAAGCCATAATGGAGATGTTACTCAACGGAAACAGTTGAAATAGCTTAGTTCTGCTTTTGCCATTAATTTGTGCTTAGGGAGACATTTTCAAGTGCAAGTGCTTAATGAATGAGAGAAATGGCTCTAACAAGCAATGCAGTGTGACATTAAAATAGCTTAGAAAGTTAAAGAACTCACAGATTCTTTTCTGCTCATAGTTTTGCTTTGGGAACGGGATCGGGAGATTGTACTGAAAAACGAATCCTTTTTGGATGCAGATAGAGGAGGAGATCCTGTAAATTCACGTCCGCCAGACAAGCTCTCTATGCTTGGAGATGAACTGATGTTTTTTGAATTTTGGCCTGTAAAATAAGCAAAAAGTAACAAAAAATTAATCAATGGGTAGTTCTTTTTTCCTGCAAACACTTCCTGTCTCAATTGACATTCAGTGAGATACACAGACAGCTCAACACAGAATGAAATATTGGAGCATGTCAGCATGCATTATGAGACTGAAGAACTATTCTGATATACACAAAACTTTGCGCAAGAGAAAAAAATAAAATCTTGGCTTGTATATATATGCATATATATACACATGCATACTTACATTATATATTTTATATATAGTATATTGATATATACTATATTATATCCACATGAGCAGTTTCTTCTCTATTTCATAACAAGCTAAAGGACACCTCAAAGGAAACAAAATCCTTTTTATCCATCAACTAGTAAGCTATAAAACTTGTCAAACAAAACAGAGTACAAAAACATCAGATTCAAAGGATGAGTTGGATATTCAACATCTAGATGACAACTAGACTTTTAACAGGAAACAAAAATAAAAGGTTGGAAAAGAACCTAAGCTATCAGCTTCAGATCTTAAAGCCAGCACCGAAAGGAGATTTTGATGAAGCCTAGTCAGTATTTGTTTATTGTCATTTCAAGGATCTTTCTAAAGATCTGATGTTGTCCATCACCATGTAAGTGTGGTTTTACATGAGGTAAAACTTATGAATACTTTGGGGACTGATAGAAAGACATATTTTAGCAAAGAAAACATTTATAGAAGAAATTCATATACAGCTAAACAGAATATAAATTATAAATGCTAAATATATATAAAAAACACTATTTGGTGGTCAGAATAAATTACAATGAAAATAACTTATTATATATAAACTAAATGAACTTTCTTTCCCATCTCAAGTATCACTGAGATTTAATACATCACTGTACAAAGAAAAATGTCAGTAAACATAATGTATGTTTTTCACATACTTCTACACTGCACGGCCTATGCTGAACTCGCTTCACCCCTGAATAAGCAGATTATGCAGCAAGACTTGAAGATATAGTTAATAAGAAAGACACTAAGCATTTTTGAATAAAGCATGCACATAAAACACAACAAAATACAATTTAGCGAAATAATGGAAAAATGTTTCTCCCAGTTCTAAGGAAAAAAGTCTGACACATAATACATTGAAAAGGCAGACTATGCTCTTGGTAAAAGGTTTGCTCATTAAACAACTAGACTGCAAAAGACAAATCACAATTTAGAGACATGAAATATGCAACTATTTGCATACACGATATATACAATGAAGATTTTGTGGACAGCACAATAATATTGTACTGAAAGGATATTTGCTTAAGAAAATTAAGAGCTTTGAATAATCTGACTCATACGAACTATAAAATATTATGATGATGAAAAACAAAAGCAAAATGAGATGTTATGAAGCTATGATAAAGATACAATGAAACAGAAATTATATATAAAAACAGTATTGTTGTATGTTTTATGGACAAATTGCAGCTAGGAAGAAAGGCTGGGATACCAATCAGTATCATCTGACTGTTTAACACAAATAAGCAAATCTGAGAAATTTATTACCATGAAACTTAAAATTTTATGCTGATTCCAAGCCTGTGAACACCACTGTGACATTGATTATTCGGGTGAAGGGATTAGGAATTAAATCAGCAGAAAGAGGAACACATATGAAGAATTACAGAGTGTGTTGCAAGTCATAAAGCAAACTTGCATTTCAACAGGCTTTTCCAGTTTCCAAAGATATCATCAGTTTTACACCTGGAAATAAGAACAGCACTGAAAGCTATAGCAATCATACAGATTTTGCCTAATGTAACAAGAAAGCTACCTAAATTCTTGCACCACAGAAGTTTAGCGGAGCTGCCACAAGGAGCGTTTGCATAACCGAAGTCACCGCAAGGCTTTTGAAGCCTTTTGGATGAATTATGTGTGCACCAATTCTGTAGCCATTAACAGCATTCATATAATTTTGGCAATACAGTAACACCAATAGAGATTTCAGGATTTGAGGAGGACATTTGGAGGATTAAACACAAAATGCCAGTTGCATGGTCTCTCCAGCGCCTCTTGCTGATGCAGCGTGCTTAGTATTGGTAGCACAGCACGTTCTCCGTACTCAACAGCTCACAGATCATTCCATCCTGTTTAATTTTGGTGTATGCCTCAGGAGAAAGAAACAAAAACTGAAAAGGACCCACCACGTACAAACAACATGTAAAAAATGATACAAGAAACCAGCTGAACATCTCCCATTCTTCTTGAGCAAGCCAGTCAGCAACTTGAGAATACCAAGCCAAACTCATTTCCCTCTGCTCTTTCTATAAAACTCAGATAAATAACTATACCTCATTCAAAGAAGATTTGACTAGCATGTTTTAATCTAATCTCTGACCACATAAATATAAACCAGATAACCTAAATTCCATACAGAACAGGCTGAAGAAAGTGCTGATACAAAAATAAAACAAATGACCACAGAACAAAAAGTTGAGCACTCCTGGGCTAAGTCACCAGTACACAATACCACACAGGATGCCTTAAAAACACACTATACACTCAAAAATAGTCGACAGTAACAATTCCTAGCATTTGGTGGGCTAAAAATACATACCCTCTGAGACAAAAAGGAGCAGTGTGACTTCCACGTGCTGGCGTCCAGCTGTCTCACTTCTTGCCTATTGCTAAAGATTGTTGGGACTCTGCAAGTCCAGGGCAACAAAGGCTGGTTCAAGACCAGCAGGAAAACTACTACCAAAGTAGTAAAAAAACTACCAAAGTGGTAGTAGGAAAAGCAGTGGAACTGCTGGCAGGGCAGGGAAATGAAGAGAGTTTACATTTTATGTGATCTATAATAAGCACCAAGTAAAAGACGTTGACAAGAGGAGTGAAGAAGACTAAGGAAAAAAAAAAAAAAAACCTGTAGGTCTGACTACACTCACATTAAGTCGCGGAGCCCTCCGTAGGGCTGACAAAGATGTGCACAACGACTCACAAAATAGAGGCTGATCCTCAATTTGGCCCTTCCAGGGGAAAAGGGCAGCTTTCATGGTTGAAGGACAGTGAAAGGCAAGATATCAAAAAGGACACAAGTCAGACCCGGTCTGTCCCACAAACCCGTTCAGATGCGCTGATCTGTTTCTCTGGGTTTGGCACAGTCAGGGAGCAGAGTGTTAAAGTTAGCAAAAAGAATGATATGATCATTATAAAACTTTGAAACTTCAGACAAATTACAGTTTCCCCTTTTTTCCTGCACTGCCATTGGAACGAACCCGGCTGCCAGGCATTCGTGTGTTTATTTAAGCGGGCTCGTCACAGGGCACGTGCGTGTCGGTACTTCCAACCGAGGCAGGTTCGGTTCTTCTCTTTAACGAAGAGCACAAAAGCAGATGCTCAGGAAAACACCTGCCTCTAAAATAACGGCAGGGAAGCCACGCGACGAAAAGCAACGCCGATGCTCACACTGCCACACGGGACACAGCGGGAAGTGGGGGACAGGCCACACGGCGAACACAGATGTTTAAACGAGGACGGATGCTGGCAGACAAGGAGGGTAACTGGGGAGCTGCAGCCTTGCTCCTTGGAGCAGGGAGGGAAGAAGTGAAGCTGCTTTTTCGGTTTTCTACACAACAGTGCCGCTTGGTGGATGGACGATGGCAGTGAGTGGAGATGGAAACCCGCCATGAGGGAGAGCCTCTGCGATGCTCCCCAGGACCCTACCTGGTTGGGCTGGGAGATGCTGCGCAGGGCCAGGCGCCTGAGCATCGCTGCCCGCAACTACATCCCCTGGGGAACAAATCAACACGTTAGAAGGTTTTCCCAGCACACGGAAAGCCCTGCGGCAAAGACCTGCAGCTTCTGCTTTTGCTGCAGGGCGCAGAGTCCAGCGCAGAGGATCTTGCGAGAGAGCGGTGTAAGATTAGGCAAAAACCAACAGCTAGATTTAGGGATCAGCATATTATATGCCATATCCACAGGGAAAAAACAGGGCTATTCAGAGGCTGATTTACACAGAAGTCTGAGCTAAATCAATCCATCAACTAAATCAATCAAAAACATTTTGTTCCTGGTACTTCACCCTGTGAGAGCCATCACCCATGTGAGAGCCTCCCTGTGGGAGTATCATATTCTACTTATTCTTGGTAACAGTTCATAGCTAATGGTATGCATATTTGTATTTTAAACAAGGAAAAAAAACATTAATATTTTATGATATTCAGTATTACTTATTGCTGCTATCAGTATGGACAACTTTTTTCCTTCAGAAAAAGCTTACTTGTTTTCTAGAGATGCAGCTGAGTGCATTTTTTGAGAGCATTAGGTGACTGAAAATTCTATTTGTGCTACAACAAACACCTCAGAAACATCCACTGATAATAGTAGACAGTAGTCTGGAAATTCCCTGAATGGCTGACCACGGTTTTAGCAGAACTTTCATTTTGAAATTGGTCCTCTAGCATGTCCTTGTGATAGAGTGGCATTCAAGTCAAATCAAAGGATGCAGAGTCAACATCACACGGAGGAAGGAAAAGGAGAATTTTTTTTTTTTTTTTCCTAGCAGCACAGTGCCGGTGGGCAACCAAACAATACGCAATTTCTGCACATCCAAGAATCCTATGGAATGCCAAGGGCAACAATTTTGCTTTTTTTCCACAATCTCATTACCATTTTTTTTCGGTCCACAATGAGCTCAATTTACAGTCCAGTGAACTTAGGATTTGAATTTAACCTTTGTCTTAGTGATTTTTTTTAACTGTGTAGGATCAAGAGACTATTTTAATCCTTTTTGCATTTGCAGCCTACCTGGCATAAGTAACCAGTAATGGTACCTGATGTCCTTCTGTGTTGAGAACTGAATAGGATTACACATATATTATGCTACAAATTTTTTTGGAGAAGCTGATTTCCTGTTAGATATCCAGATACTTCATTTAATTATGACTTGTAATGGTGAAGACTAATCTGGAATTATAGCCTTACAATTGTGTTTTTTTTTAAATTTAATATTATTCTGCTGTTTTCTGTTTACATTATCTATATATGTTTTTCTAATAAAAATTTAGCAAGTACAACAGCACAAGTGAGAAAATTATTGATTAGATATGAAAAAACATCCCTCATTTTGTGCACAGCAAAAGCTATCCCATAAGGTAGAAGGATCAATATGACATCTGCTACTGCTACTGGTTTGTGAACTGAGTGGTAACCGCGTCCAAGAAAAGCTGTAGAATTGGGGATGGGATTATTCTGCCAGTCCTGCAAGATATTTGGTTTCCAGTGACTTCCTCAATGTGACTCCAGTGACTTAAGGCAAAGAAGATTAAGGCAGGCAATTTCATCTCTTTGAACTTAGCAACCCTCTACAAGTTAAATTAAATTATCGACACTACTTGAGCATTCAAAAGCGGAAAGGGCAAATATAATTTGAGAAAAATGGCTAAACTCTTTTATTGATGTGATGCCTCTCAGATTTAAAGCACTTTGGTCACCTACACAGCCCACCTGAGCATGTGCGAGTATTAGTTCTACTGGAAGCAGAAATGTCTATCGATTTAAATCCTAAATCCATGCTTCTGCCCATCCCAGCTGAAGAAACAAGCTTCAGGAGGATAAGCAGAACTGAAAACACAATGATGACCAGAAACATAAATAACTAGTCCACTAATTTGCAGCTTTATTGTTACAAGCCACACAAAAAAAATTTAGGTCCCAAAGCTAGAGAAAAATCCAGAGACCCAAAAAAGCCAGTATACCAAGTGGAAAACCACTAAAAACACTCAGCACAGCATGAGCTGAGTACGAGAGTCTCAGAATTCGGCGGTGTCCTAAATCTCCGTGCCCCAAAGTGCTTCACTCGGGGTTGTAGGGAAGTGCCTCCATTCTCTGCAGAGCCACAGCTCTTCCCTCAGGTGGTGATGCTCTCTTTTCTCGAAGAACTTAAAAGACTTAAAATTAAGTCTAGATAAAGATGATGATGTAGACAAATACCTCTGAATAATTATGCTTCAAGGGGCTCTTTTTAGCCTGGTTCCACTACTGTGTTACTGCAAATAAGGAATTTCTTTTTGTAAGCTATTCCTGTATTTAAACTTCAGAGAAAATTCACGGGATTGATTCCAAGAGACTTTATACTTCCATTGACATTTGGACTTCTCTTTAAAAATCTAAATTGCAGCATTGCAAGTGTAGTTAGCAGCCATCATTCAGAATGGCCAACTACAGGCTATATACAGATAACTGTTTAAATTTGGAACAACAAACATGGCAATAATATGTAAAACAAAACTATTTCTCATCTTGATTGATTAAAAAGTAAATTTACACTTTGTTGCCTTTAATTTACTTCAAGTTTTGCTCCAAATTTGGATAGATAGCATTGGCTGAGCAGAAGTCGCAGGTACTAAAGTGTTACAGCAGGTTTTATTCTTACATCATTAATTTGCATATTTTTGATAATTTTGCTAAATCTCAATATTCCTGTTTGCACAGAAATATGTGCACAGATTGTGCATGACAACGACTGCAGTATAACAACAAATCTTTATCCTAACTTGTACACAGAAAGTACGGCAATAGCAGAAATAAAGTGGGTTTCTATATGGTAGCCAACATGTTGCAAGAGCCATCCTAGATCAACTTTAGGCATTGTTACACTTGAGTCCATCTATAAAAGTTGCTTCTAATTTTACTATATTTTCATCTGAAAGAATATTACCACCTGAGGACTATTCTTCTAAGCAAAATGTAAAAAAAAAAGAAGGTGTTTTCAGTTTCCTGTTTGGCCAGCACTGAGGCCTGGCTGGGAGTAATTTCTAAGATTGTTCTAGGATTCAGAGAGACATTTCTTATCTGGATTTTGTCAAGCACCTGTAGAGACTCTTAATAATAATAAAGATGCAGTACTACACGGTGGCTCAGGAGAGCAAGCACCAGCCTTCAAACTGATGTGGTATCACTCCAAATACATCTGGCAAAGAACATATCGCCATAGGATGAAAAGCAGCTTGGGCCTAGCAGAGCATAGGAAACAACTACTAAAGCTGAGATCGTGATCTTTGTTGATTCTGTCCACATGAAACATAAAGAAAAGCCTGGAGAAAAAAGTGCTATTCATTAAACAGAGGAAGTATCGAGGACCATCACGAGTTATTAAATGACATTTATATGCTATTGCTCAAATAACTCCTCAAATAAGTCCCTAGCACTCTAAAGGCAATAAGAATTTCTTTATCATAAACGACTCAGCATTGGACCTAACTTTCTTCACTTGTACTCATCCAATATTGTACATGGGATAATATAATACATGGGATATAGGCCAAGAGCTTGTAAAAAAACTAAATGAAGTTAGTCTTGCAGCTTAAAATGCATTGCATTTAAGAGACTTAAAGATTAATGTATATAGAGATAGCTACTGTCTATGAGAATGATGTTCACTGACATAATTTCTTGTTAATATAGGTTCAAAACCTTCTGTGCTTGTACATTCCTGACAGTAACATCTAATTCTGTACTACACTGCAAATGTGCTGGAGTACACACATACTATTTAGCAGAAGGGGTTTTTTTTTCTACCCGAGTCCTCCATGTATCGTTTTATAGGAAAACAACAACAAAAAAGGACTTTCCCCGGGCGTTCGACAAAGCTTTTTTAAGTCGTGCAGATGCCCTGGGCTTGGCCTTTACCTTTGCCCAGCTGGACTGGCATGCTCTCGGATTTCATGAGCCGCGCCATGGCGGGGGCGATGAGCTTGCGGCCAAAGTTGAGCAAGCTGTTGGAGACTTTGTTGATGTTCAGCGGGGCGGCCTTAGCACTGGCCCTGAAAAAGAGAGGAAAAAAAAAAAAAAAAAAAAGAGAGAGAAATGATCATATATTATAACACAGAAGATAAATATTTTTGGCCATTTCTTCCCGAAAAAAAGCAGACTAAACCCAAACAAAGCCTGTTTGTATCAATGTTCTTGTTTGCTTTTTCAAATAAGATAAAATGGAGACGTAATAAAAAAAAATCCAATGAATGCTTTTACTTTTAGTACTTATTAAAAGGACTGCTTTATTACCTACCTCTGTTAAATTCCATTGAATGTAAATATAAACATAACTCAATTCTTTCAACTCATTCATGTTTTAAGGCTGGTCAAGCTCTGCTCTTATTTCACCTTTTGCCAAGTCTAGACAGTTCAGGCTAAGCACTTACAGCAGGGAACCTAGACATCAAGAGTGATTTTGCTGAATAATTGCTTCAGGATAGAATCCATCCTCTGGATCACGATCCTTAACACAGTTTCTCTTTATTTTCAACTACGGTGGCTATTTAATTCACTTCAGTTATATGCAACATTAAGAATGAAGAAACTGCCAGACCATTTAATCTGTTTAAAATAAGGAGGCAAAGATTTCAGCTCCTAGTAGAAGTGTTCACATAATACAAAGACCAGCAAAGTCATTTCTATTTGTTCATGCAATATATTCCTGTTTTATACAGTAAACAATTGAATTATCTTTCACAGAAATGTATCAGTCACAGAGACCATTCTATACCTGAGGTTTTATTTTAATGATCTATTCTTCAATAATATGTATCTTTGTTTAAAAAAAAAGACTGAAGAAATATATTTAATGAAAAACCAGACCATCTTTGTAGTGGAGCAAATATTTTTCCTTTGTTTTGTGGAAGTGTGTTCAAATATAAATTACAAATGAAGTAATATGGCTGATGTGCCAGTTGTACAGGCACCCCAAGAAACAAATTTGGCTTTGCTTTTCACATCATTTTCCTATTTATCTCTAGAACATACATTTTTTGAATATACATTAAATACATACACACAGAGATATATTTCAAAAAATAACAGTATCTAAGTTATTCAGACCCAGAAGAGGCAACGTTAGAAAGACAGAAGCACAGAAAGCTAGGTGAGTTTGCACTCTCATGAGCTACAGCCCTAAGCCATTTGGGGCCCTTCTTTCCCACTTGAGAGATGAAGAAAGAGAGCACATAGGAACAGCAGTGTGGAGACTGAAAGCATTAAACCTTGTCTCCCGTTAGCCCTACCCCTTTCTATTGCTGCAGCTCCCAACTTCTGGGGGCTGGAAAGAACTGCTGAATACTGACCATGCAACATTTTCCTGTCTCCCATTTCTAATATTTTATTGACCATCGCTGAAATTATAAAATGTCTTTCTATCGTCAACCCAGAAGGACTGACAAAGTAGCTAGGGAAGGAGTATCTTTGGAACTGTAAAGCACACTTGCAGAAGTCCCATATGGCCTCAAAAAGCCAATTCAACAGTCCTAACAATTTCATGGAAGAGGACATGCTACAATGTTTATTATTGTAGAATTTTACTCTGCAGCTACCTAGCAAACTTGGTTGTTAAGCAGTTCCCCAAGGTATTACAGAGACACTTAAAGAAAAGAAGGGAATGTTTGTCTTTCCTTACATATACGTGGCATTAGAAGGGTCAGCACAGGGCCTTTTATTTTTTTTAATGTCTACTCCATCCCGGGCAGGAAAGAGATTATAGCTTTGAAGGTGAAAGACAGATACCAACCGTTTCTACTAAATCTCTTGGCAGTAATGCTATCAGCAAATAAATGTGCTGAGCTTCAAAATTTGAATGTGAGTATACTTCATTGGCAAGGTCTTCTCCTCAATCCTTTGCAGCTAATCAGCTAGGATGAGGTGTTAAATTCACCTCAAACCTTAGAAGGAGGCTAATGGGTTACACATTATGTCCTGGGTTTGTGTTGCCCCCACAGCTGGAGTGTTTGACAGTCAACAAAAAGAAGCACAAAACACAAAATCTACTGCAGCCTATCAAAGCCAGCAGCAAAGCCCCTGGATGCTTTGGGTCAACAGCATCATTGGAAACATGACGGCCTACAGATACATGAAGTACACAGAATAGAATAAAATGTTGACTACATGAAAGGTTTAAGATATGGAAGCCCTAGGTCAAAATCTAGGTATGTATGCACAATGTTTTTTTTTTTTTAATATGTTTGCTTAATAAAAAGTATTACTTTGCCTTCTACATTTTTTATTTGTTGTTTTAAAATATATAAAGACTCTCAAGATGTTAATTTATTTGTATTTTTGGGTGGTTGAAAAGAGACTTTCTGAGATACTTCACAGAAAAATGAACACCAAAAATATTTTCTAGGCTATATGTCCAAAATACGGATTTAATAAAACTTTCAGGAATAATAGACAATACTGTATCAAAATTGAGAACTAAGATGTGATTTGGTGCTACTATGAAGTGACACTGCTAATGGTCAGTTCAAAATGCAGGCACATACCTAAAAAATAAATAATGATGCTATCTAAATTTCTTGACAAGAAAAAAAATCAAGAAAAAAAGGTCTTTAATTCATTCTACATCACTGCTTCAGAGTGCTAGATCTCTGGAAAAAGTATGTTAAAACGAAACTGAAGGTTCATTTGAAGAACACTGTACATATTTCATTGAAGAATCATGTATCTATTTCTCACCATGTGAATGTCTGATATTAATGCAAAGGATGATTTGAGCCATTAAACATGGATCAATGTCTATATTTTAGCCATCTAAATGTACTAGACATGCACAACAATTACAAGAAAAATGCTGATTGATTATGTTGTAGAGTTATCAGCAGATGCATTTAAAAGTAAGGCATCTATTTAAAAATATGAATATCAAGGAGATGCGAATTCCATCTATGAAGCAAACAATTTTGTTTCATCACAATAAGCATCATTGACCCTGACTATGAATGGTGTATTTTTAAACTAGCTGCAAGATGATTCAATCTCTGCAGTCTTCTGCTAAGATGAAAACGTTTTGTTTTAAGCAAGGCTTATTCAAAGCCATTTTCTCTTCAGTAGCCATTATGAGAGACAAATTTATGAACACGACAGATTAAAAACTTCTATAAAAGTGATAAGATAAGCAGTACATATTAAGAGATTTGTGAAGATATTCTAAATGCATTACTGAGTCTGTGAAATTAAAGATAAAAAAACTTAGGAGGTTATCTAATCCACCTCACTGCTCACTACAGAAGCATTTCCTAATGTTATATTTTCCAATTCTCTGTTTTGTACAATCTTAAACAGATTCACAACATTTGACCTACCCTAAATGTTCCTGGGTTGAGATTTTTTCCTATTATTCCGCAAACTGAATGCTCTATAGAACTTCCCTTTCTCTCTGGTGAGTATCCTCTGTATGTGTGTGCGCTGAACTAACCTTCTTGCTTAGATCTGGAGGCCAACTTTTCCCTTAGAACTGAAGTTTTCAGCACGTGTGATTCTTTTTTTGTGCTTCACGTGTTTTTGCTCTTTTAAAATCCTTGCACTGTTTCTTGTAACGTTTTCAAATAAATTATTCTTCGCTTTTAAAAAGGTTTTAGGATCAGTTTTCTTATGATTTTGAATATTTTTTTTTTTAAAAAAACATGATCTTAAATGAATGCAATAGAATTCAGTGCTTTTTGCCACAACCCTCTCAACTTTAAATATTGATTTTCCTAAGAAAAAAGAAGCTTTTACAGTAATTGTTTTACACATTTATTTCTGCCCCTTATTCTACTTTTAGAGGCTTTTTGACTCAGTTTTAGTTTTAACCGATTTTAAATACAGCTGATTTGAACTGTATTTGACAGAGGCACAGCGATCTCAGAGTCAGGGAGCTCCTGCAAATCAGTGCACACAAGGTATGACTGGGTGTCATGAGTGGTCCTGGACACCCGTTGTTGATTGTTGCTGCACCAGCTGAAGCAAGGTGTTGTGTTGTGTCGTGTTGTACTCACCTGCAGCCAGGAAGCAACAGTCGCCAGCAAATGGCACTGACACCGTGGCCATCCCGGCAGTGCTCAGGCACCTCCAGGCCAGCTACTAACAGCTTAAATTAACGTGAGAAGGAATTTAAACAGCATTGGTACAGGCCATTTCTAAAGGAAGGGATGAATGTTGCAAAAAGGCATAATAAAAATTAGTGCAAAACAGATGCATATTTGTTTTATCTTACTTACAAAAGTTCTAGTGAACTGATACTGCAGACTGAAATTAGAGGTAGCATGAGAAGTAGTTTAGTATCCCCTGCCTTTACCGTATTCATCGCTGTGTATAAGTAAACTAAGAAAAATATCTCATGCTGAATATAGCACTACCTCTGCAGCCTTTATTCATCATGTAATAACAGGTGAAGAATCAAAATAAATTTCACACATCAAACATTGTGTTTTTAACGCTGGCTATATAATTCTTGTTTGCAGCAATGAATATCTTGTTTAAGCAAAGTCTTAGTTCAATAAAAACACATTCAGAAATAGCTTACCGGGTTTTATTCATCAAGTCTGCTCCACGTGCTTTGTAATAGTCTAAATTCTGTTGGAACTGGTGTGTCACTGGCCTTGGATTTTTCTAAATAAAAAGAAAGTGTTGGAATTAAATATATATATGCACACACACACTCAAATACCTTGCTGGAGCATTCTGAAACAACTTAGAGCAGAGAGTAAAAGAACTTTTATTACTGAAGATACATAGTTTAAAAAAAAAAAATCCCCAGGACTGTAGTTTCTAAAGACAGTAATATAACTATATAAGTGAAGTCTTGAAGTAATACCAAGGCATTTAGTCTACTCCATGCTTACAGAAATTAGTTAGTGTTCCTCCATATCGAGATTAGACTGTTGAATGCAATGGATGATGCTTCTAATTAGATTTATAATTTACAGGCAAGTTCAGATCCAGATCTCATTTTGCTCTTCCTTTAACTCAGATACAGATTTTTACCACCTTCAAACTTCAAAGAGATGTTTTTAAAAGAAAAGATAATAACAAGGACCAACTTACTAGCTTAGCTTACAGTTTAAAATGCATGCACGTTTAAATCTTGGTAAAGCAAAGAGTAACTTATCGAGCCAAACAACCTACACACAACCACTAGATGGCACACGGAACCTTCCTTGTGGCTAAATTTCACCCTGCTAAAAGCAGAGGCCCCGAATAGAGAGCTGCTCTCATGTAATATAATACATATAATTAATACTGAAATGTAAAACTGTTTATTAATCTTCACCTTTGCCACAGAGAAACTATTTCATTTAAGCACATTGCCTGCAGTAGTACTGAAATCATCTCTTTTGGATCTGAAATTCCATCAAAGATGGATTACATGTCTAGCACAGTAATGTTTAAAGATATTTGATTTCCTTTACGAACCATGAAGGACATTATTGGCAAATAGAAAATTTTAGGAAAATATTTTTAAAGTAAAAAAAAAAAGCATATGGATTGAACTAAAGTAATAAAGAGACTATATATATGAATACATATATTTATATTCACATTTACAAAGAGCAATGGTTTAAAAGAATCCATTTCTAGTGTAAGGAAAAGGAAAATGATAAATACTCCTCAGCTTTTCTGTGTAATAATCAGAGGTATTGTATAAAAGATCTCTAAATGGTTTTCAAATATTTGCTTAAAGGTTTATTAGCTAATACACCTTAAAGGTTTATTAGCTAATACACCTTGTGCTCTGATATGCTTTCTTCAGTCCTGTTGAAAGTGGAGTTTTAATGAACTACACAATAAGGTTTCTGAAATGGTTGTTCACAGATGAAAGATATTCTGGTTTTGATGTGTTCATTCTTAAGCTCTTTTTCACTTTCATGTGTTCTATCTTTTCACTCCAAATTGCAAGATGGACTAAGGCATCCACACTTTATTCTCTGATTTTTGAGGAATTGCTGTAAACCCTCCTTCCTTGCTAAACTTCCTGATTTTTTGGAGGACAAGGTAGAGTTTGCATTTTAATGACCAAAATATTGCATATGCACAAAAGAGAGAGGAAGATTTGAAGAGACTGGAGATACCAAAGGCCAAGGATGGTCTCTGGGGTCAAACTTAAGCAGGGAATTTCCAGATCTTTCATGTTGTCAGACTTAATCTGGTATGAAATGCCTCATTTCCTTTCTTTGGAAAGACATTAAACATATTTTAAAGATATCCTGTTTGTAATGTTCCTGAAAAGAAATGAAACAACAACTAAAAGCTATTAGACAAGCATTAAAGAAATTCTCATCTGTTCTGCCACCCACATAGCAATGGCCGCTGTACATTTTTCTTCTCTTGTTATAAAAACAATATTTGCATAACTCTACCCATTCAGATGGCTTATAAGTCAGTCCTCATCAACTGACAGCAATAACAATGAATCAGCTTTAGTTACTATTGCTCCAGTTTGGTAATTCAATGCATTTCTATGATAATCAAATCCAAACTGACGTGAGGAGGATAACCGATGGCTCTGCGGCCACTCTTCAAGTAACTAAACAGTGCAACTCTCCTCTCATGAACTGAATAACTTTTTGCATATGTGACTCGATGACCATTTCAACAAGCCACCAGAACAAGCGAAGGTTAAAACAGCTGCTGCTTCTAATTCACAGAGCAGCCCTTGAAAAAATCCCTTGAACAGTGGCTAGCTCAGCTTCACAAACAGTTTCCAATAACTCAGTATATATTTTAATCTTAGAAAAAACAATGGAATTTCTTTTCCACCAACCACCAAACCAATAGTATGATTACACTTTGCTTCTGAAAAAAAATAAAGGAGGAAAAGATCTTCTGGAACGGTTTTTTGAAATGTATTTATGCAGAAATGACAAGCAATTCAAGACATGAAAAGCTGATCTACTATCTAAGCACTTAAAGCCATTAATAGGAATAATGATCTAACTTGAACGTATGAATGAGGCTCAAGCACTACTTTCACAGGGGCCTATTTAAATTCCTATGAGGTTTAAAGGTATCAAAGGAAGCAGCAGTTTAAAGTACTATTACATGCAGTGAAAAAAAAAGCCCTCGGAAAAAAATAATGTTGAAAAAACAACATCAGAACTGCAAGACAGTAAATACCAATGGTTATGGCTGGAAATCCTCTAGCAACTCTACAAAGACATCCTTTCAGAAAATTCTATTAAAGAAAATGGCTACATATGTTAGGAGGCAAGTATCTACAAAGCAGTATCAACGAAATATCAAATATTCCTGAAAGCTGCACTTCAGAAAGCAAAAAATACAGTTTGTTTACATCATTATGATAAAACACTCTTTATCTTTTATACTGCTTTTAACCCTTTCAATAAGTTATATATAAAAAGCATAAAGGAAAACTTACACAGTCACAAAGTCTCTGCCCTATCAACTTTGAACTAATTCCTCTCCCTACGCATCCGCTTTCAACTCTCCCTTGTACTATATGTTCCATGCATTAGGAGAGAAGATCAAATACATTTGGTTTAAAGCAAAAACATAGCTGTGCTGTTTAAAATATTCACAGTAGCCATACTTCTTTTCTACACAGTGTGATTTAGATTCTATTTCTGTTTTAATTCCTTAGGCTAGCGAAATTTTCCCTATTTTGTTCAATTTATCTAAATATTTTGACTAGTACCTCAGACAAAAATCTTTTCTTTTAAAAGGAAAGCGTTGTTCATGACCGTGAAATCAACTCTTCAAATCAGTAGCTTGCTGAGTGCCCCTACTAAATTGCTTCAGGGCATTAAATGGATTAATACATATATATATATATTTTGCTTCCAAAGAAACAGGACACAGAAACCAGACAGAAAAGCTGCCCATGCCTGTATCATACACCCCTCTTCCTCACATTCATTTTGTACTAATGAGTCTGCTGGCTTTACAGTTATGCCTCTATTCTGATATATTTACCTAGCATGAGCTTAGTTTCAAACTGGTACTTCTGAAAGGATGACCTACTAAATACAGCCATAGAGGCACCTGTAGAAACCGCTGGGACTTCTGTCTCTGCACACCAGCTGCAGCCCACGGAGCAGAGAGGCTGGAAATGCTTCAGGTTTCTCGTAAGGATTTCGGCTTCTGAGCCCCGCCCTGGCCTTGAATAAAAGATTCCCCCATCCGTCCTCATTTTAAACGAGAGAAACCTGCTAAGTCCCCTCATTTACACTGTGTAGTTCGATTTAAAAAAAAACACCCATGTGTCTGCCTGCAAGCGTCCTTTAACCCTGTCATCCCTCTCTGTTCTCGGTCATGACCCCATTTCCTTGCTCCAGTTCCCATGCTGGGAATTCCCAGGCATTTTCTCTTCCCTCCCTCTCTTCCCGAGTAGGGAACCGAGTCTCCCCCAAGGCTGCCTGTGCTCAGCTTGCACAAGCTGCTGGGAACCTCCGTGCATTCCCAACAGGAAAGGTCCCTGCTCCCGCGGTTACATCCTCCAGCACAACTTCGCACGCAGCGAAACACGGGGTTGCTGCAACTCCGGACGACTGCGGAAAATCCGGCGTGCCGGCCATGTTGCCCACGCACACGGACTGCACGGGGAGAGGGGCAAGAGGGACGTTTCTGTCCTGAACTAAGTCACTGAGGGGAAAAAAAAAAAAAAAAAAGCAGGGGGAAGAAAGGCCGCCCTTCCCCTGCCCGGCTTCCAGAGATCGTCTGCATGCAGTTACGGACGGAGCTGCTGCGATGAGCAAAGCAAGGCCCTGTGACACCAGCCACGGAACGGGTGTTTCGGCAAATCAGGAAAACCAGGTTACTGCTGCAATGTCCTCTTTCACCGTTGGAATACACTGTTTGTAAAAGTTTACTTGTGGGTGCTGGCGGGGAATCTGTAAAACACTTTTTTATTCTTCATCCTATTTTCTCTATCCTTTCTTTGTACATGATCAGAAAAAAAAAATCAAGTAACATTTTGCACAATAGCTGGAGGTTCAGAGTAAGTGACTACAGTAAAAAAAGATTTTCAGGACATCTGATGAAAGATGAGACTTATTTTAGTGAACATGCTATTGCTTCAATGCCAAGGGAAAAAGCGCTCGTCATTAGAGAAATGAATTGCTCAGCTGTTTACAAGCAAAAAGCTCTGGGGGAATTTCTCAAGGCCCAAAACACAAAGCGTTGCAGGGTTACACAAACATATGTTGCAGGTGTTTTAGGGTAGACAGGTGGGAAAACCTCAACTGCTAAAATAATACTCTGCTTAGTAGATTGTATCTGAAACTAGATAACCTAAAAGCAATGGAGGAAAAGCAAACAAACCAGACAGTGAATTAGACATACACACAGCAATATTCTCATTAAAATAATGATCTCATAGTGCCAAACAGGATTTTTTAAATTAGGCTTTTTCTTTTTTTTTCTTTTTTAATATTAAAAAGTGCTGCCAAATATATAATCTACAATTTTTAAAATAAGTACATTGTAAGCCCAGAACAAAGAACAGGCTGAATTACAAATCAAAAAAGGAAATAATAAGGATGCACTATTGTTCTTTTTATTTAAACACTTTTTTTTTTTTTTTCCCTAAGGAGGTAGGTTACTATAATATCCCCCCTCTTTGTTGACAAAGCAGTATTAGATTTATCATAATT